CATGGCTCCTGGGGTGATGAAATTCTGATAATCTGAATGGGAAATTTTAAAAGGAGTACTCCAAATTAGTTGTTATTGAAGTTACTTGTATACCTCTAGGTCCAGCAAGAGATGAGGAAAAAGGCATAGCTTAGGATCTTGGTAATATATTCGGAGATGTGATGAGTCAAGAAAGATTATGAATTCTTGAATAAACTGATCTTTATTTGATATTGGGGTTTTCTGCTTATGTAGGATTTAATTACCTCTCTCAGCAAAAACCAATCCTGAAGACAATAATCTATAACTGTAGTCTTTAGTAGTAAGTGTGGATACATTTTGTGCATCTCCCCAAATTATGACATTGGTCTATAGCCAAATAAAGTACTGTTAAGAGGCTATTGGAGGTCTTCAATAGCATCATTTTGGGAAAGGACATGGACGGCAATCACAAAACCTATTACATCTTTGGTAGCTGAGCAGACAAAACCTTCCGTTGGGGGAATCACGCCACTTTCCTGTACCAGTCAAATTATGATCTGTTGGTCAAACTGCCCATGCTATGCAGAAATCCTCTCTACAACGTCTCTGAAAGATGTCAATCTAGTCACTGCTTGGATACTTCTGTCCAGTTCTTGTCTGAATTGTTAAAGGCTGTCTAGTCCTTGTAACCTCTTACCTACTGGTCTTATCCACACAAGTCATATCCACTCACTCTTCTACATGACTCTTCCACATATGTGAAGACACTAACGTGGTTGCTATGGTCTGAATGATTGTCTCCTCCAAAGCTCATATGGGAGCTTAATTCCTAATTTGGCAGTGTTGAAAAGTGGGGCCTTTGGGAGGTAATTGGATCATGAGGACTATGCTCTCATGAATAAATTAATCTATTCATGGAGTAATGGGTTAATGGTTTAATAGGTTTTGATGGCAGTGGACTAGTAGCTTTATAAGGAGAGCAAAGTGAGCATGTTAACTGGTGCTACTGCCATTCTTCCCATGTGATACCCTGTGTTGCCACGGGACTCTGTACAGAATACTCTCCAAGAAGAAGGCCCTCACCAATGAGCCCCCTGGACCTTGGACTTCCTGGCCACCAAACTGTAAGAAATAAATTTTGTTTTTTTACACATTATCCAGTTTCAGATATTCTGTTATAAGCAACAGAAAATGGACTACAACAATGGTCCAGTCTTTTTTTACCTCTAGAATAAGCAACTCCAGCTTTCATATCTGTTGCTTGTATGATAAATGCCAGATGCTCTAATTCCAATTCCCTCCTCTGAATAAAAAATTCCCACTTATATTCTTATATTCACACAGTTGAATATAATATAATAATCCAAGCTCAGTCTAACTGGTCCAAGTAGCATACTACAAAGACATAACAATAACATAACATCATACTATAAATACAAAACAAGTGTTACCTTGTTTATTTAGGACTCTACAATGCAAACTCTTTTCCAGCTTGTCATTCTCCAAAACATATCATATTTATCATCTCTACCATCTATATACCTGAATTTCTTGAACCTAAGAAGTTATTTTATATTTTTTTTTAGAGAATGATATCTCTCTGCATCCTCCCCCAAATAATTTAAGATTCTTAAGCCATTAAGTTCTACCCTCACATCCCCAAGAGTTCTAAGATTCTAAGGAATGCCATATATTTCTTTCTTTTTACTATGATGGGCACCAAGATAACTTTCTCCCAAAGTTTCTCTGTCACCTCTTTATTTTTCAGAAATAAATTCAGAGAAGTGGAGTCTCCTTTACTGAAATCTGCTGTTTTCTAGGGATTACACTGTCAAGAATTTCAGATACTTCTGCTTTTAGCAAAATTAGAGCTGCAGCCACCTTACCACCAACTTGCCTCTACAAGTCTGTGATGTGTCACAAAAAAAATCATTTATATCCTGTGTGTGTGTCTGTGTGTGGAAGGGGGCAGACAGTGGCTGGTGAATCAAAAAGGAAACAGCTTTCAGAGTAATTTTTCTCCTAAGAAATGTCTTCTTAAATCATGCTTATCTAGAAGAGAAGTATGCAATCTATTCAATAATAAAAATACCTAATAGAAGAAAAATTACTGTTTATGTTGATTACCTTTTCCATTAACAGCACTTAACTCCCTTGGGGTTGACAATCAATTATCCTTTTAATTGAACTAAATTTTTTTTGGATGAAAAGACAAAACAAATTTTTTCTAACCTCTTCTTCATTCTCTGTTGTCTGAACATATTTCTCATTTCTAAAGTTCGTTGGGGGTCAAAACAAAAAGACAAAAACATGCCTCCACACAATAAAACCTCCAAATTGTAATTGGCTAAAAAAAAGTTTTGAACAGTGATGTGTCCCTGCCCGCCACCTCCCCTCCCACCCACCGCTTACTCTATAATGTACAAACCACAAGAAACTGCTTGGACAGGCAGTTACACAGTAACACCCCCTACGTTGAGCATTCAACAGTATGCTAACATGGTTACATCAACATGACTCATAACTCACTACCTACAAAAGAGATTATAAAATATATTTTCCATATATTAACAGAAAATACAGTTGGGTGCACTTTCTTAATTGCTAATATAAAATTAAGTTAATAATCTATCAATATTGATTCATAATTGTAATAAATGTTCCACACTTATGCAATGTCAATAATAGGAGAAACTGTATATGTGGATGGGGGGAGGGTATGGGAACTATTTGTACTTTCTGCTCAATTTCTCTGTGAAACTAAAACTGCTATAAAAACAAAGAAAAAAATGGCATGGAGAAAATTTTAAAAAATATCTCTCATTAATCTAATTAGTAATTTAGATTAAATTTACAAAGCCAATTTTTAAAAAAGTTTCTTATATGCCTGGGTTTAAACGCAGGACTTTCAAAGCTCTGGCTGAACGTAGTAATTTTTATTTTGTTGCTCTCTTTTTTATACCTTTAATTCTTAATCTTATAACTTATATTTGATATCTTGGGTAAACTGTGTGTGTCTGGGGGGGCGGTTGGTTCCTAAAATATAGTTTTCCATTTTAATCTGAACGAACAACATGAGATCTATGTAAAAATGCTTTGAAATGTTGCGACAGAACTGAAGGTGGGATGGTGGAGGAGGAACAAGGTCAGTGAGAAGCTAATACCATAACCTTGCACCTCTAAATACTACTATTTTCAGATATGAACTCATTAATACACCAAATTCTTGAAAGGTAGCAACTAAGATCTTCCTTGGTTATTTTTATCCCACAGATCAAATGAACAGAAGCTAAGTAACACTACCCTTTGGGTTATGTATTAGTTGGTTGTGACACTTTGCCATTTAAATCAGTTGTTTAAATGTTGCCTACATGTCCAAACAGGACAATCCAAATTAGATGAATAAAGCAAGACTGACCACCAAAATTTTAGGCAAAATGGCTAATGGGAGAGATCTGTCTTTAGTATTCTTCTCCCCTCTTTCCACTGCCTACAGCTGTTTCTAGTTCTCCCGACATCGGTTCCCCCAAACCTTCCCTTAAAAAGGCTCCCCCAACGGGAACCCAACAAAGGTAAAATTGATCAAGAAAGCATACCTCCTGGTAGTATTTACATTTTTAAAACGAGAACAGGTTATGGGCCGGCCCGTGGCTCACTCGGTAGAGTGCGGTGCTAATAACACCAAGGCGCCGGTTTGGATCCCACATAGGGATGGCCGGTTTGCTCACTGGCTGAGCGTGGTGCTGACAACACCAAGTCAAGGGTTAAGATCCCCTTACCGGTCATCTTAAAAAAAAAAAAAAAACGAGAACAGGTTAAAGTAAACAAATCTCCAATTGGTAGAAAGTGTAAAAGCAATGTATGTAAAAGAAAAAACCTTTCTCACATTCCTCTCTGCTCATCATTGCTGCCTCAAAAGAACAGGGGTACTTTAAAATCGTATCCCGGGCCGGCCCGTGGCTCACTCGGAGGGAGCGTGGGTGGTGCTGACAACACCAAGTCGAGGGTTAACATCCCCTCACCGGTCATGTTTTTTTTTTTTTTTTAAAAAAAAATCGTATCCCCCTGCTTTTTCAAAAAATTGTTTTAAAAAATCATGAAATACCGAAATCAAAAAACCAGGTTTATCATAGATCTGAGGGCCGTCTGCCACGTTCAATCACGCATGGCTTACTTGAGGTTAGAAACAATCACAATCTATCCTCAAAAGTGAAAAGCATAAATGTTTTATGGAAATAAGCTAAGTGTTCGGTCTCTGGTTATTTTAAATTCTTCAACTAAATTAATACGCTTATATCATAAAGTGAACCTAGTAGATATTAAAGAACATTTAGATCCAAACGATCTAAATCTCGGAATGAGGAAAGGTTAGTCTCAACTTAAATTCTACATCCCAGCTAAAGTACCTGTACCATCTTTTCTCTCATCCTACTACTTTCCACCCGGCTTGTGTGTGTGAGGCAGAGACTACCCGCACCGCCTAAGTTGTTAGACCTCAGTTCTCCCAAACTTGCTTGTTTCCAGTTCTAGTCTCTCCAAAAACTTGTTAATGATTGGCTACCCTGATAAACCAATTAACGCTAACGTGTCAATGGCCAATTAAACTATCTCCCCTAAATTACATCCTTGCATTTCACAAAAGCCTTTAAGACCTTAACCCAAAGGATTGATAAATTATAACAGAACTTGCAAGAACGATAAATTTTGGAGATAATCGGCCTTTCAAATCATAAGGTCTGTCTACGTCCCCTAATCTTTCTTGTAGCCTTCCAGGGTAGCAAGACCGGAAGTTGGTATAGGTATTGTTGCTACTGTAAAGCAAAACAAAGCCAAAAAAACTAAACCAAACAAACGGCTTCCAGTGAGTGTGGCACGCTCACCCCAACCCTAATCTGCTCAATCCCCACTCGAAGACAGCGAGATCGCCAGGGCCACAGTCCTGGGGGTAAGGTCGTGGGCAGAGGAGCACTGCTTGGTTTCGGGCCTGCGGGTGCGCAGGTGGGTCTGGAACAAGGAGAAGCGGCAGTGGCCCCGGTTACCTGCGGCAAAGTGGAGAGGGGTGGATTTCCTGCCCGCCGTGTCGCGGCTGTTCACCTTCTCGGGAGTCACCAGCCGCTTGACTCGCTCCACGTCCCCGTTGCGGCAAGCCTCGAACAGCTCGCGGGCGGCCGGCTCCACTGCCTCGGCCGCCGCGCTCGCGCAGGCCGCGCCCCCG